CTGATGCTGCTTGGCCTGCTGTGTTCATCCAGCTCTACACCTTGTTATCTCAGATTCTCCAGCATCTGCAGTTCCTACTGCCTCCACCAGTGAACACAAGATATGCAAGATACACTGAAGAAATTCACCTTTGAGAACATCTTCCAAAAAGGGAAAGTATGGAAGATTAGGAAAAGCTGGATTTTCTTTGTACAGCTAAGATGAGTCAAATTGCCTCTTTCTGATTCAATTACATATAACTTAACATGTTACATGTAACCTTAGGAGTAAATCTCTTGTAAAGAGTCCAGGAGAATAGAAGGGATAGGGCAGAGGAATGAAGTCTTTGCATTGAAAGCATGGCTAGTGGTCATGCATAGTGAAGCAACTGGGAGCAAGACACGGGGGCCAAGATACTAGGGTGTGTGACTACTGGTGTGTATAGAACAGAAACAAAAATGCTGCAAATACTGAAGATCTGGAATAAATACAAAGTGCTGGGGAAATTCAGCAGGTGGTACATATGAAATACTGATGTACATGGTATGGATACAGAATGTACTGTACATTACTTTAAAGCATTCAGAACCCTTTTCACCTCTGCATCAAATTCCAGTACATGGGCTCTGTACACAGCTCAGTGAGTCAGCAAATTCGACTCAAATATATGTGTTATGGAAATGCATTACAGTTATAACTTGTCAGGGAATAATCACAATAATTTGACACTTGATTATAGAGTTACTGTGACACTTCAGTTGAGTTCCTCAGAAGCATAGGATTGGGCTTGAAATGTTATGTTTTTCTCTCTCCACTAATGCTTTTAAACCTGTTAAATATCTCCAGCATTTTCTGTTCTTATTTCAGATCTCCAGTATCTATGATATTATGCTTTTGACCAAGTCATGGAGCTACTTACAATTGTGTGGCTTAAAACCCCTGACTTGCAGTTCAAGTTTTGAAGTAAAGAAACCAGTTACATTTTGGTTTGGTAATAACACCTCACTTGTACTGTTTACCAGAGAACTGTCAGCAAGTTGAAAAGGAAATCAAGAAATTGAAAACAAGAATTGATAGGCAAAACAGCAATTGAACAAGCGGCCTTCAAACAAAGATGAATCGGTTCAGAATAGGCACATTTACATGAGGGAAAATGTCACGGATTATTGAATACTCCATGATCACTCCATGATTGTATGCCATGTTTGTACAGTTGCCAGGTATATCCAGCATTTTTATGGATGTTAGTAAAGCAATGAACCCAAGATGAAAAAACAGATTCCCAACTCCACACCTTCATTGAAAAGTGGGGGCCTAAATTGGGATCTACAACAGCCGACCACATTTAAAGTTGACATTGTGGCATTTGGTAGATATAGGAAGTAGGCTGAACCGAGTTAGATTTGAATGTTACCTTTCTCAAGCATTCTTTCAGTAAAAGGAATGCCATAGTATTGGCACATTTTCAGGATTTTCTTATATTCCTTATGGCAGTGTTGCCGATACACATTGTTTGCCTCTCCCATCACTCCAGCTATGGTAGTCGGTAGAGAATGGCAGGCTATGGTACGCTTCTCTCCTCTCACAAGCAGACATTTTTCCATCAAATCCATGTGACGCAGTTCATCCTGCAGGGTTCAGAAGATATCAGAGATAATGAACAGCAAATACTGAATCATTTCTTTCAGATCAGCTATGTTTCAGTTGATAAATTGATTGTAACATTAACAAAACCAGAGAGTCCTGCTGTTGACAAAGCCAACAATGGGGTTGGGGGGGTGGTGGGTGGTGGGTGGGGGGGGGGGGAAGTGATACAAGTGCCATGAGTCCCTCCAAGGGAATTGCCCTGTTCACTGTCCAGACCATTAATGACTATCTCTTGGAAATGGTGATTGGCAAGGAAGTTGACTACATGAAAAAAAAGTCCAATTAGTTGACCTCAAAATCCAACCAAAATTCTCTGCTCAGCATATTGGCTGATCAATACGAAAGGTTCAATTGTCAAAGATATAGGCAAAGATAAAACATAGTAAACTTAAATATGTGCTTCTAAAGAGACTGTAATACCTACAAGTCCAATGAAAGTATTTTAGGTCTTTTCTCCTCAAAAGGATGCACAGAATGCTGCATTGCCAGGGAAGGTAGTCAGTCAATTTTGGCAATGTTTCAAACATGGCCTGCAGGGTATTCAGGAAAATTCAGAGGATTGGAGTCTTACTTGCTGTACTTTCCCAGTGAACAACTGGGAGGACAATGTGAAAGATTTACGTTGTATCAAATCTCTGTTTTAACTACCTTGGTAAAAGACACCGTTGACAAATATAATGTAGTTGATTTGACATTCAAAGACACGTGTGATTCCAGTGTGGGACACTACCATCCTGGTGCTAGCATCAAGGATGTCACTGAACAGCTACAGAACACTGTTACTTGGCAACAACACAACAGTAAATGGTTAATTTCATATTAGAGTGACAGATCAAGGAATTGACCCTACTGACCCTAGATCAGAGAAATTGGTGTTGAAACAATTAGTCAATCAGGATCAGAGTTCAACACACTAGAACTTGACAGGGAGAGTAAAACCAAATTGAATGAAAAATAATGCTTTATGACAACCATCCAGAAGATGGATAAGATCAAAGTGGGACATTAGTTCATGATTTAATGATATAACAAACTAGCTTTCTACAGTTCTAAAATTTGTTACAATTCTCATTCTGGTTGTTCATTTACTGCTGTGACGTGTCAATGGTGAGATGGCAGAGTAGTGGTAATATCACTAGACTAGTATTGTAGTGATCTAGTTAATGCTTCGGGGATATGGGTTCAAATCCCAGCATAGCAGTTGCTGGAATTTGACAAATCTGAAATTGAAATCATGACGAGAAAGCTATAAATAAAAACAAAGTACTGGAGAAATTCAGCAGGTATTGTGGCATCAGTGGAAAGAGAAACAGAATTAATCTTTTGAGTCCAACATAATTCTTCTTCAGACTGAAAAGGAATGAAAAATAATGTTTTACAGAGGAGGAGCAACAGGAACAGATGGCGAAAGCAAAAGACAAAGTGGGTGCTAATGTTAAGTATGAACAGTATAGTATAGGTTAGCTCTGCTGAGAGCAAACACACACAAACAATCCACTAGGGAAGGGGTGTGATCAAAATGGAGGTCAAAGTTCATGCTCTGTGTTCTATTTTTGACCTCCAGCATCTGTAGTACTTTAATTTTATCTCTACAGATGCTGCCAGACTGGTTGAATCTCTCCAACATTTTCTCCAGCTTCCGCAGTACTTTGCTGTCATTACCATGAGCCTATTATTGATTATTGTTTTTGGCAAGGAAATTTGCTGCCTTTACCCAATCTGTCCTACATGGTACTCTAGATCCACAGCAATCATATCAATCCTTGACTGCCCTCTGATATGGTGTATCAACCACTCAATTAAAGGGCAATTAGGGATAGGCATCATGGGGTGGCACAGTGGCTCAGTGGTTAGCACTGCTGCCTCACAGCACCAAGGACCCAGGTTCGATTCCACCCTTGGGCGACTGTCTGTGTGGAGTTTGCACATTCTCCCCATGTCTGCGTGGGTTTCTTCCGGGTGCTCTGGTTTCCTCCCACAGTCCAAAGATGTGCAGGTCAGGTGGATTGGCCGTGCTAAATTGCCCATAGTGTTCAGCGATGTGTAGCTTGGGTGGGTTATAGGGGGATGAGCTTGGGTGGGATGCTCTAAGGGTCAGTGTGGACTTGTTGGGCCAAAGGGCCTGTTTCCATACTGTAGGGATTCTATGATTCTTCTATGAAAAGCTGGTCCTGTCAATGATGCCTACATCAGTTTGAAAGAAAGTAATACATTAATAGCTCTTACAGAAAAGAAATAAGATTGAAGAGAGAAACTGGAGAATGCTCCTCCATCTGAAAAGGTGTGGACTGTAAGAATGCTGAGAAATTCAGGTTTCCTTGCTAATCAGTCACAGCTAACAACTTTACAGCAGAGATAGTAGGAACTGCAGATGCTGGAGAATCTGAGATAACAAGGTGTAGAGCTAGATGAACACAGCAGGCCAAGCAGCACCAGAGGAGCAGGAAGGCTGACGTTTTGGGCCTAGACCCTTCTTCAGAAAGAAGGAAGTTTGGAAGAAACACTGAGGCTCAGATATAGGAAAATAAATCAACAGTGCTTTCTGAAGAAGGGTCTAGGCCTGAAACGTCAGCCTTCCTGCTCCTCTGATGCTGCTTGGCCTGCTGTGTTCCTCCAGCTCTACACCTTGTTATCGCTTAACTTTACAGCATCTGTTTCTCACCTGTATTCTGTCCTCATCAACATCAGAAAGCAGAGTGCTGGTTTTCCCTATTCACCAACAACAAACAGCTTGAACCTCACCACCAACCTTTCTTCATTCCTCCACTGTCGCTAAGTTCTCAGAATGATTACCCAACATCCAATATTAACAAAAATTCATGCAATGAATGATTGAGAAGGTTGAAGACATGGTTTGCAGAAACAAAAACTAAAATTGCTGGAAAAGCTCAGCAGGTCTGGCAGCATCTGTGGAGAGGATTCACAGTTTCCAAGAACCACAGTTCTTTTGGTTTTTAACATGGTTTGCAGGCTGTGCTCTAAACTGTTCTCCTAGCTTCTAATTCCATCTCTCTCCCACACGTCAGGCAGAGAATATATTACTGTGTTCACTATCTTTGTGTCACAAGTGACTCTGCAATGAGCTTCATTTTCATACCATCCTCAAGATGGCTAATTTCTATCTCTGTAACATCATTCACCCCTTTCTCAGCTCATCTACTGCTGAAACCCTCATCTATGCCTTTGCTATCTCTGGACTTGATTGTCCCAACACACTCTTGGCTGGTCTTCTAGTCATTCCTCCATACACTTGAGATCGTCCAAAACTCTGTTTCCTGTGTTTGAACACACACCAGTCCCAATTAAACTGTTATCCCTATGCCCACTGACCTACACTGGCCCATATGCCCACTGGCCACATCTTGATTTTAAAATGTTCATTCCTACTCCCTCCATGGCCTTGCTCTTCCCTATCCCTTAATCTCTTCCAGCACCACAAACTTTGATGATTTCTCTGCTCCTCCAACTGTGGCCTCTATTATCCATAGTTTTAATCCTACCTTCTCAACATGCCTTCAATTATCTGCACCTTAAACACTGAAATACCCTCTACTGCTCAATATACACATCATTTACTTCCTTTAATATACTCTTTACAGCCAAACTCCTTGTTCAAGATGTTGACCATCTAATCTGCTGGCCCTAAAACTTTTGATAGGAAGCAAATAAATCAAAAATAAACTTCAGCAGAAATCAAACAAAGCATTTAAAAAAGATAAAAGAACAGGAAGATAAACAGTTTAGAAGAAACAATGAGGCTCAGATATAGGAAAATAAAACAACAGTGCTTTGAATCACAGCTGAGATAGCCAAATTCAAATGCCATTTTATTTCTCTCATTTTGTCGAGCTTGGCAAAGTGTTTATAAGCTGTATAGGGGTGTGAAGCAAGAGATCCTGAGAATCTGATCCGTATTCAGCAACTAGCAGGCTACAGGGCTACTCAAATAACAGCAAGATGATTATTGTGTTAAACTGGAGATAGTAGGAACTGCAGATGCTGGAGAATCTGAGATAACAAGGTGTACAGCTGGATGAACACAGCAGGCCAAGCAGCATCAGAGGAGCAGGAAGGCTGACGTTTCGGGCTTTCTGAAGAAGGGTCTAGGCTCATTGTGTTAAACTGGTTTCCAATGGCTTTCCAGTGCCCTGAGGGGAGAGAGATGATTACAGTACTATACATAATGACAGATGCAATTTTATCAGAACCACAGCCTGGGAGTGGTTCCAAGGAGTGTAATGGTCAAGCTGTGTTTTGATACTATGGCAGGGACATTACCAGACGGTGGAGGCAGCAGGGTAGGTTGTGTTCGAGCTACTGGCCCATCCATTCTCTCACATGACCAACCGCATCCTTTTTTTAATTTTATTTTTCCATTTGAATTTTGAATCAAATTCACTTTTTCTTCTTTTTGCAGCTGTGGTGTGGAGAGAGGTTGCAGGGAGCTGTTGAGTAGCGGATCCAGTCCCCATGACGGTTGCGGCTTGAGCATCTGTTCCAACGCCAATGGATTGAGGTTAGTTCTTTTCTTTTGCTGATTCGGCAGCGTCTACAACGGTGGTAGAGTGAATGATTTCTCAATTCTCGGGTGTTAATTTGGATGGTCCATCAGTTCTCAGAGGTTGAGAATGGGAGCTGGTCCTCGACAGTTTGGACAGTCTCGTGGCTATGCGGCAGCTGGAATATCGGCTAGCAGAGGTGACATTCTGAGTTTGGTCAGTGGCAGCAGGGTCTGCTTCAGCATGCTTCCTCCTTGGTGTTGCAACCTTGGGGACAGCTTGGTCGGCTGTGGAGTAAGGCATGTCCCACAGCCATGTATAAAATCAAGAAGCCATGGTTGGAACAAAAAATGAAGTTTATCTTAACTTTGTGTGCATTATTTCTTTTTTGAAATTAATGCAATTAAAATGGCACTAGATTAATTATGGCCTCTTATACTCATTTTACTGTATTTTCATAACTATATGTAACAATAAATAACTATACCATATATAGATAAAGTATAATCACTGTTATCAGTTAGAGTTATCATTTTGAATCATTTTAGAACTTAATAGCAAATAAGTAAACAAGTTAACTAATACCACTAATTCTTACGTATGTGGGAGGATACTTGCTCTGAACTTGCTATTTCTTTCTTAATTACTTCACCTTGCTGCGACATATTTACTTTCAAGTTGTTGTTTCTAATCCATGATAGCCAAATCACATTCAAATCCCTTTCCCTAGGTGAGAACTTTTACTCCTTCTTGATCTTTGTCCTTTTTGTAAAAAAACAATTTTTCTTACTTTTCTGTATTTTTACTTGAAGACTAAAATGGGAATGGAAGCATTTAAATGCCAAGAATGTACAAAGATTGCTACACTTTTAAAAAATTAACTAACTCTCATTTTATGAGCTGTATACACAGCTGTTGATTCAAACAGTGAGGAAAGCCTAGTTACATGTGAGCTACGACACAGGGGCTAGGGATTAAGCTGGCAATAAGTATCTGATTGGTCATGAAATATTGCCAATAACTATGTGATTGATTCCAAGGTAGCTGAACAGCTTGTGTGAAATGAAGGTTACGGCAGAAGTCATCAGGAAGGGAACGAACCATTGTGCTCTATAGTAGAAAACACCTCAAGCCAGAAGATTATCCCAATTTATTTCACCTTTTCAGTCACCGTAAACTGTGACTTTTAATTCATAAATCAGAGACTTTATAAGTGTGAACCTGTGCCTCCTACAAACAAGTGAAAATACCTGGAGAAGGAAGATCGAGAAGCAGCATTTTGATCAGCACAAATTTAATTTCAGCAAATCCTGTGACGAGAGACCACTGCACTACTTTCCCAATCTCTCCTTCAGCCCATTAACACTCAAGTTTTTTGTTTGTGTCTGTCTGTTTCTGCGCGTAAAATGGGAATTTATAAATGAGTTAGAGTTTTAACAAGTAGAATTGCATGTCAATGGATCATAATTGTTTATCTGCAGTTAGAATCTATTTTTTCATAATAAACAGTAATTCTTGATCAGTACAGAAATCTGGTCTGGAAAATTGGTAAGTCTGCACACTTTTTAATATCTTTAACTTTTGTATTGACTGTGGGAGTAGAGAGGCTTGATTTCCAACACAATACTCAAGAGAAGTGTCATGTTTTACAAAACTACATTAAATCTGACTGAATTATGATTGCCACCACAATAATGTTTTTCATTAGTGACACCCCTTGCGCCCTGAAACAACGTTCAAAATGACTCTGCCTTTTGCTAGGTTTGTTACAGACCTAGCTAAGAAGTTCTGAACACATCAAAGATTCTGCAGCCTCTGTATCTTTCTTCCTGACTGTTTAGGATTCCATCATATAGACTCAGCAGTCTCATATTTTTGTTTTTCTGTTTAACCCATACAACCTAATTTGATTAACCTTCTGGTGTATCAAGCCCACTGACAGATATTACTCTCCTCACCTTGATAATAATTGTTTCTCTCAAATGTTAACCTTGTAACCAGCCTTGTTGAGCTGTCCATCCAGCTTATCTTTAGGCCATATTTCAGTGTCAGTTCCTAGAATTTTGAGAAGCACCTAGACAAATACATGAATAGGAAAGGAATAGAGGGATATGGATCCTGTGAGTGAAGACAGTTTTAATCTGGAAGGACAAAATGTGTCGGTGGAGGCTTTGAGGGCCGAAGGGCCTCTTCCTTTGTTTTATTGTTCTTTGTTCTAATTTATTTGTGCGCCAAGCTCATCTAACTTATTCATTAATTTTCTTGACTTATTAAAGTACAAACCAACAATCCCTGAACAATTTCAGTGTAATTCTTTTTCTAGCCTGTGTGCTCTCCATTTTCCACACTCACTCACAGGTACAACTCAACCTCTGCATTAAATAATTGCCCTCACACAGCAAATTCAAGAACTCAGAATATGACTTGTCAATTGACATGTTCATCTAAAACTCCTGTAATCGCTTCTTATCCACTATGGTTTTCTGTCACTCATCAACAAACAGAGCCTGATGGAAGAGAAATGCTCTACCTTAAACATGTCATTGCCAAAACAACTCAGACAATCTCTTTCTGGCTATGACTATAAGAAATTAAAACAATTCCAGTATCACTTAAGTCAAGGTTTGGTGAACATCAAGTGTCATACCAGGCGTATTTCAATATGACATTTCAACCTGGTAATGCTGCAACACAGGACTACTTGCATGCCAAATAGCTAAGCAACATACATTAAACAGGGCTAAACGATGCCATAAATATAAAATCAGATCAAAGTTCCACAATCTTGTCACATTTAGTCATTAATAGTGACGCACAATTTAAAAATTAACAGATAGAGAAGAAGGCTCTACAAATGATGAGGGAGCCCAGATCATCGATGCATTTGCAACAAGCTTTGGCCAGAATCGTGACTGTAATGAGCCATCTCGACTTCTGCCCGAGGTCCAGCATCACAAATGCGAGCTGTCAGCAAATTCAATTAGTTCAATGCAATTATCATCAAATAGCAGAAAATACTGGATACTCCAACAGCATCGGACTCTGTCAATATTCCGACAATAGAACCAGCTGCATCTTGAGCCAAATTGTTCTAGTAGAGCTACAATACTGGCATCTACTCACAACTTGGAAAATCACCCAGGTATATCCTGTACAAAAAAAGTAGGGCTAATCAAACCTGTCCGATTATGCCTTATCAATTTACCATTGATCATCAGTAAAGTGCTGGAAGATGTCATCAACATTGCCATCAAATGATAATTGATCACTGACAATATCTAAGTTATGCAAGGACCACTCAGCTCCTGACTTCATTTCAGCCTTGATTCAAACTCTGGATCAGAGGTAGGTGCACTACCACTGCACCACAACAGACACCTAGGAATTCCAGTGGACCAGTGGACCAGTCCCAACCATCTTCAGCTGCTTCACTAATGACCTTCCCTCAACCATCAAGTCAGAAGTGGAGATGTTTGCTGATGATTGCACAATGTTCAGTACCAGTGCATTCGTGACTCCACAGATACTGAACCATGTGCATCAAGCCTGGATCATATTCACTGACCCCCTGACAAGTCAATCATTGAATTGAAATCCTCGACATGCTCACCTTGTCAAACTGCATGAAATCAACTTGTGAAAGATTCCCTTGCTGTTCCATTTTACTGCTTGAGAAGACATCTTCAGATCTCAGTTGTTCTTGATCCCAACTTTCCTGGAACAGTTCCTTTGGCTCCAGAGAGGATAAATTCATCAACAAACCAATATCATAAAATGTACTTGATTCCATTTCTTCTTGTGAAGCGTTTCTCTGTAACACATGGTTAAAATTACTGCACTAACCTGAGCATTAAATACTTCTTTATTATTACCTGTTATGAGGAGGCAGGAAGGGAAAGGCAGGTAACGGGTTTGGGGGAAGTGAGATCAGAGTAAGCAAGAAGGACGCATGGCAAACTAGAGGAAGGCTGAGGGCACAGGTTGGTGGGGATGTGGTAAAGGCAGAGTGTGGGGAGGAAGGAAGAGGACAGAGGGAATGAAAGAAGTGGGATGGGAGGAAAAGTACAGGGAGAGTGATGGAGAAGAGGGGGAGGATGAATAGGAGACTAGCAAGCAGGAAGAAAATCAAGGCAAAGGGAACGGCTGGGAGAGTAGAGGAGGGAAGGGAGAGGGAGATGTCTCACTGCATTACAGTGGGGCACACTGATGTAACATGAGAACTGTCCAACTGTGCTGTGAACTTTTGTACGAAGATAACGATAATAAATGCAAAACAGACATTTTTCGTCTTAAACATTATTCTATTCAATCAAAATTACAACACTCAAAATTCATGAAAATTAATCAAATTAAAAGCAAGGAATCAGTCATTTCATTCTAAAACATGAACATTCTAAACACAGATGGCCAAAGGGCAAAATTGAGATGACATGATAGTTTTTACTAGTGACCAGAGAAACCATGCAAAATGCATTCATGGCTTTTTTATTGAAAGTAAAACAAGGCAAAACAAGCGAACATTAGCAGTTGTAACTAATTTGACTGTATCCATATTTCATCACTAAAGCTGATATTAAAAAGAAAAGAAACATGTAGAGCTACAGATGGATCACACAATGAAGCTGAAGTTTGAAGAGGTGTCTTTGTACATATTTTGGCTTGATGTGGAGGTGCCGGTGTTGGACTGGCGTAGACAAAGTCAGAAATCACACAACACTAGGTTATAGTCCATCAAGTTTATTTGAAAATACAAGCTTTCGATCCTCAGTCCTTCTTCAGGTGTTAGTGAGAGAGGTAGTATCAGAGGTAGAATCAGGTATTATTAGGGTAAAAGTTCGGCACAACATCGTGGGCCGAAGGGCCTGTACTATGCTGTACTACTCTATGTTCTATGTTCAGACTTTATAAGTAAAATATCAAAGGTTCACACCATTGATGAGGATGTACTAAACAAATCTAAGATGCTGTTAAATCTTTAATCAGTTGGAAGGTTTTAATTGATTAATATGTATATGTAAATCCCTGAATTCCTTTCAAGTCACGATCCTGAGAGGACTAAAGATTTTATCAGTGTAAGGAAGAGGTGACATTTTAGGTCATACAATGCATGATAGGTGTGAGACCTTGTTTAGATACTGTTTGTGTTTTAGTTTGGAGTCAGACTGGTTTTATTTCTAAAGTAGGAATTTATACAATGCCATATTGACTGTCTATAAATTGTGTGCTTTTTGAACAAAATAAAATGTATCTGTAAATACAAATTCACCCCATAGATTCACGTGTGTGTGCGTGTGTGTGAGAGACAGAGAGAGAGAAAGGGGTCGGGGGGAGCAAAGATGGAGAGAGTGTGTATGTGTGTGTGTGTAGTGCGACATGAACCCAAGATCCTGGGTGAGGCTGTCCCCATGGGTACCGAACTTATCAGCCTCTGCTCGGCAACTCTGGGTTATTGTGTATCCCAAAGTCCGCATTGGAGAATGTTTACCTGAAGATCCGAGGCCGAATGTCCTTCACCACTGAAATGTTCCCCCATTGAGAGGGAACATTTATGTCTCGCAATTGTTGCAGAGTGTCCATTCATCTGTTGTCGTAACATCTGCATGGTTTCACCAATGCCTCGAGGCATCCTTGCCTGCAGCATATGAGATAGACAACATTGGCCGAGTCACATGAGTATCTGCTGTGCATGTGGTGGGTGATGTTCCCACGTGTGATGGTACTATCCATGCCAAATTTCTGACATGTGTTGCAGAGGTTGCCACGACAGGGTTGTATAGTGTCATGGTTGATGTTGTCCTGAAGGCTGGGTAGTTTGTTGTGAACGATGGTCTGTTTAAAGTCTGGCAGTTGTTTGAAGGCAAGAAGTGGCAGTGTGGGGAAGATCCTGGCGAGGTCCTTATCATCATTGGTAATGTGTTGATGGCTGCAAAGAACATGGTGTGGTTTCTCCACTCCCGAGAAGTACTGGACGAAGAAGGGCACCCTATCGGATGAATCCTGTATCTGTCTTCTGAGGAAGTCATTACGGATTTTTGCTGTGGCACTTTGGAACTGGCGATCGATGAGTTGAGCATCATATCCTGTTCCTGTGACGGCGTTCTTCAACACCTTCAGGTGTCCATCTTGTTCCTCCTCATCCAAACAGATTGTGTGTATGCATAGGGGTTGTCGGTAGGGGATGGCTGTTTTAATATGTTTTGGGTGAAAGTTGAAGAAGTACAACATCGTGAGGTTATCCGTAGGCTTGCGGTAGAGTGATGTACTGAGGTGTCCGTCCTTGATGGAGATGCGTGTGTCCAAGAATGAGACTGATTCTAAAGAGTAGTCTATGGTAAGTCTGATTGTGGGATGAAAATTGTTGGTATCATAATGTAGTTGTTTCAGTGATTCCTCACCATGAGTCCAAAGAAAGAAAATGTTGTCAATGTATCTGGTGTATAGTGTTGGTCAGAGGTTCTGTGCAGCAAAGAAGTCTTGCTCAAACCTGTGCATGAAAATGTTGGCATATTGGGGAGAAAATCTGGTCCCCATGGCTGTTCCATGTGTCTGGATGAAGAACTGATTGTCAAAGGTGAACACGTTGTGGTCGAGGATAAAGCGGATTTTAGCTGACAGCAGAACATGAACATCTGATGATCCCTGGCCATGCCATTGCTGTACTCTTGCCATTTCTGGCATCGTACCTTGATGGACTAGCAGTTTCAACACTGGCATATGGGGAAAAAATGAGGAAGTACTGGAGAGTGGAGCAAGATTTGTGGGTGGCCTTGTCATCAATTCCTCTCTGGATTAAAAAGTTGCGCACACGCTGACAGGCTCTAATTTCTCATGAACCTGGTAAACTGCAATCTTTTTTTGCTCTAATCCACTGAACTTAAGTGCTGCATCAGTGCAATTATTTAATAAAATTTGTACTTCTCAAGGTATTGTTATAAATATGAAATGCAAAATTCAAACCAAGAGCAGTGTGCGGAAGAGATTTAGGGCCATGAATATTTAGAAATAATTGAATTGAGATGGTTTTGAAAATGTGGTTGCGCTTGCAGTTGAAGACAGTCTATCTTTGCCAGTGGTAATGAAATAATAATATATTTATTGTAATGTAATATGTAGACATGGGTGGAATCATCCTAGATTGCCAACAGAGGTATGGCAGCAAATCGTGGAGCTGCTGACGGAAATTTTCCAGACATGATTAGTTCTGGGGTAACTGGAGGTTTACAAATGCCACACCATTTTTTAAGAAAGGGGCAAAGTACAACTACAGAACTGTCAGCTTGACATCAATAGGGGCAAAACTGATGGATGCCACTACCTGTGACTCCACTTTCAGAGAACGGTGCACCTGAACTCCAAAGTCACTCTGTCCCACTCCTTAAGGCCCTGCCATTCACCATGAAACTCCTACCTTGATTTGACTTTCCAAGATGCAACACCTCTCATTTATCTACATTTAAACTCCATTTGCCATTTCTCGGCACACTTCCCCAGCTGATCAACATCCTGCTGTAATTTCTGATAATCGTCCTCACTGTCCACAATACGTCCTACTTTAGTGTCATCCGTAAACTTACTAATTGCGTCATCCAAATCACTGATATAGATAACAAGCAGCAATGGGTCCAGCACCGACCCCTGAGGCACACCACGAGCCACAGGCCTCCAGTCCAACAAGCATTCTTCCACTATTACTCTCTGCTTCCTACCATCAAGCCAATCATGTACCCAATTCGCCAACTCTCCCTGGATTCCTTGCAATCTAACCTTACAGAGTAGCCTGACAAGTGGAACCTTATCAAAGGCCTTACTGAAATCCATATAGGCTACGTCTACCGCCCTACCCTCATCAACCTTCCTGGTCAATTCACCAAAGAACTTTAACAAATTTGTGAGGCATGATCTCCCACACACGAAGCACGCTGATTACTCCTAATCAAACCTTCTCTTTCTATATGCATGTATATCTTTTCCCTCAGAATCTTCCCAAGTTACTTACCTACCACAGGTGTTAAGCTTAATGGTCTACAATTCCCAGGTTTTTCTCTGCAGCCCTTCTTGAATAAGCATTCACTACCCTCCGGAACTTCACCCAAGGCTAACGATGATGCAAATGATGCCAGGGCCCCCGCAATTTCTTCTCTAGCTCCTTGCAGGGTTCTTGGATATATCTGATCAGGACCAGGAGATTTACCATCTTCATACATTCTAATACTTCCAACACCTCCTCCACTGTGATATGGACTATCTGCAAGATATTGCCACTAACTTCCCCAAGTTACCAAGTCTTCTTGTCTTTCTCCACAGTAAACACAGAGGGGAAATATTCATTGAGAATCTCATACATCTCTGGCAGTTCCACACATACATGTCCACTTTGATCCTTGAGAGGTCGTATTCTCTCTCTAGTTATTCTTTTCCCATTAATACACCAAAATCTCTTTGAATCCACCGTAATATTCTTAGCCAGAGCTACCTCATGGCCCCTTTTCGCCCTCCTGATTTTACTCTTCAGTCAACTCCTGTATCCCATATATACCTCCAGGGATTCCCTTGATCCTAGCTGCCTGTTGCTGAGCCATGACTGGTCAAAGCCTCAATATCTCATCATCCAGGATTCCTGACTCCTGCCAACCTTGTCCTTCACCCTCACAGGAACGTAAAGACTGTGAACACTAGCTATCACATTTTTAAAGGCCTCCTACTTGCCAGAGGTCCCTTTGCCTGCAGACAATCTACTCCAATCAATCCCTGCAAGCTCCTGTCTAAATCCATCAAAATTCACCTTGCTCCAATTTAGGACTTGAACCTGTGGACCAGTTTTGTTCTTCTCCATAACTATTTTAAAATTAATAAAACTATGGTCACTGGTCCGAAAGTGCACCCCCACTGTCACCTGTCCTGCCCTATTTCCCAAGAGTAGGTTCGGTTTTTCCCCTTCCTGAGTAGGACTCTCTATATGCTGCTCGAGGAAACTTTCCTGAACACATTTAACAAATTCCACCCCATCTAAGCCCTTAACACTTTGGCAGTTCCAGCCTACGTTAGAAAGATTAAAAACCCCCACTATGACAACCTTATTTCTCCTGCAAGTCTCTGCAATCACCCTGCATATTTGTTCCTTTAATTCCTATTGACTATTTGGGGGCCTGTAATATAACCTCAATAACGTCACCATCCCCTTCTCATTTCTTAGCTCCCCTCACAAAGCTTCACTGCATGATCCCTTAGTTATTTCATCTCTGACTACTGCCATGAGACTCCACTTAATCAAAAATGCAACTCCCGCTCCCCTCTTTCCTCCACCTCTGTCTCGCCAAAGGCACCAGTACCCTGGCACATTGAGCTTCTAGTCCTGTCTCTCCCTTAGCCATGTTTCCCTAATGGCTAGAATATCCCAGTCCCACATACCTATCCACACCCTGAGTTCATCGGCCTTACCTGTCAGCCCTCTTGCATTGAAATAGATGCAATTTAATTCAACATGTTTTCCTTGCTCCCTGTAGTATTGCAGCCTGAGCTGTCTCTTCAACTTGGTATTTCTGATTACAGTATGCCCTTCCAGTCTCGAACTTGTCTCCCTGCTGTTAATGATCCCAGCCCCCTGCCAATCTAGCTTAAACCCTCTCTTGCAGGACTAGCAAATCTGCTCGCCAGGATATTCATCCACATCCAGTTCAGATGCAACCAACCCTATTGAACAGGTCACCTCTGCCCCAGAAAAGATCCCAATGATCCAGGAATCTGAATTCCTGCTCCCTACACCAATTCTTCAGCCACACATTCATCTGCCATATCCTCGTATTCTTACCCACACTAGCATGTGGCACTGGAAGCAATTTGGAGATTACCATCGTCAAGGTCCTGGCTTTTAATGTTTTTCCTAGCTCTCTATAATCACTCCGCAGGACCTCATCCCTATTTCTACCTCTGTCATTTGTGCCAATGTGCACAATGACTTCTGGCTGCTCACCCTCCCCCTTTAGAAATGTTCTGCAGATGCTCCAAGATATCCTGGATTCCGGCACCCAGGAAGCAGCACACCATCTTGGAATCCCGTCTGCAGCCACAGGATCTCTTGTCTGTCCCCCTAACTATCGAGTCTCCTATCACTAAGGTCCTGTTTACCTTTACCCTTTCCTGCTGTGCCCCAGAGCCAGTCGTAATGCCACCGACCTGGTTACTGCTGGTTTCCCCCGAAGGTTCACAACCCTCTCCCAACCCCCCAGTCAGTATCCAAAATGGTGTACTTGCTTTCGAGGGGAATGGCCATAGGGGATTCCCTTTGCCTTTCCTGGTGGTGACCCAGCTCCTCTCTGCCTGCACCTCAGGTGTGACCACCTGAAACTCTTATCTATGATGCGCTCAGCACCCCGGATGATCCTGAGTGCATCCAGCTCCCTAACACGGTCTCCCAGGAGCTGCTGCTGGGTGCACTTCCCACAGGTGTAATCATTAGGGACGATGAAAGTCTCCCTGAGCTCCCACATCCGGCAGGAGGAGCATGCCACTGCCCTAACTACCATCTCAAATGCTCTAAGAGGAAAGTTAAAAGGATTTTACCCGAGTTTACCTGTACTTCTTGCTGAGCTGCTGCTCACCAAAGCCTCCTGAGCCAACGCCTTAGCTTTAACTCAGCTCATTTTTTGATTCTCCTTGACACCAGGCCAATGACAATCTGTTCCTCAGTGCAGATGACTGCTTCCAAGCTCTAACGTGTGTGGCGAAGTGATGCCTCTCCCTCTCAGTTGTTCTCTGCTTGCCTTTGTCAGTGGGGCACTAAATAGAAAGCTGCCTGATCATGTTGCACTCTAACACTTTAGTTAGGCCACATTAGGACTGACCACCACGCAAATAGGAAGAATATGAAGGCTTTGGGTGCAAAAGTGGTTTATCGAAATGAGATAGCAAGAACTGCCGATGCTGGAGCCTGAGATAACACAGTGTGGAGCTGGAGGAACACTGCGGGCCAAGGCAGCATCACAGGCCTGCTGTGTTCCTCCAGCTCCACACTGTGTTATCTCAGGTTTATCGGAATGTTGTTGCCAAGTTTGGAATGTATTAGTTATAAGGAGAGGTTGGATAAGCTGGGATTGTTTTCGATAGAACGTAAGAGGCTGAGGGACAACCTGATAGAAGTATGGTGTATAAAATTAAGAAAAGGTGGAAACGTCAAATACAAGGAGGCATAGGTTTAAATTGAAAGAGGGAAAGTTTAAAAGAGAGATGTGCGAGACAGCTTGTTTTTTTTTACATAGATGTACTGAGCCGTACTGTTCTATATTCTCTGAAAACTGAAGAGTGGTGAGGAGGATCGAGGGAGGAAATAGGGACATGAATGAGGGGGCGGAGGGAGAAGTGGAACTGACCTCAGGTGGGCTGGGCTCACTCAGGCCTGGGCTGTAGCCGTGCCGGTGGCCCCGTTGCTGCCTCTCCAGAGTCTCAAGGACGCGGAGCTCCAGGTCGTTGGCGGAGGTTTTGCTGTTGATCCACCTCCGCACATTTGCCATGATCTGCAGCTCGGCCCGCTGCCGCTTTCTGCCGGACAGCCACTTGGTGTAGTCGGCCTCGCTCCAGCCCTTTGCCTGCAGTGACTGCCTCTCCTCCCCGTCCTCCTCCCTCTTCTCCTCCTCCTGGACCCCATCCCCGTCGGCCTGGGAGTGGACCACCCGCAGCCGCGCGGTTAGCCGCTCCGGCGCCCTCACCGCGGTGCTGACCCTCAGCTTACATCGCGGGGAACCGAACATCCTGCAGGCCATCTTGAAGAAGTGAGTCTGCAGCATGGCCCGGCGTCGGCGGCGGCACGCAGCCCATTCCGTGACCGGAACCGGGACTACTTCCGTGACTGAACGGTCCGCTTCTCCCTCTGTGACCGGGCCATCCTCTTGCACGGACAGGCTGCCTTCTCCATCTCCATCTCCGGGCGCCATGTTGTTGTTGTTCAGGGCGCTGTGCTGTTACCATAACAACCGGACTCCCCTCATCTGATTGGTTTGCCGTTCAGTGCTCTGATTGGCTGATCGCCGAGGCGGGCCGGTTTGAAATCAAAGCCTACCCCCTTTCTATAATGGTCCCTCACCCACCCCTTTCCCTCCTCCTCCTTCACACCTCACCCACCCCTTTCCCTCCTCCACCTTCACACCTCA